CTGTAGATTGACAATTTTGACACCAAAGTAGGTGTAGATGCATTTAAATTGCCAAAAATGCAGCTCAAAGAGCTCATTCATTTTCATTCATCCAAATGGAAAATCAAGACTCACTGAGGGGATGCGCCTTTGTCCTCATGGGTCATGGCTGAAAACACAGCTTTTGTTTATTTGAGGGGTCACAGCAGCATTCCTCAAGTAGTCATCAAGCCATAGTGCAAAAGGTTTTAGGAGAAAGAACAAGAGGGCCGCAAAGCAACAACCACAACTGCTGAGAAAGCAACATCCCAGAGAGGAGCAGCAGATGTCTATGAGGGGGGAGGGGAGTCAAAGGTCACTCACCGTCCTGTTCTGACAGAGAGGTTTTGACCCAGGAACCTGAGGAGGTGAGATGGCCCATGTTCCCACAGGCAGGCATGAGCCCAGGCCTCAGCTGTCTTAGCCAGAGTGTCATCCCACAACTAAACACACACAGAGACATAGTGGGAACATGGAAAGCCATTACATAACTACTGGAAACACTGGTTATTCATTCAGCAGTGAGATGTGACATAAGAGTCTGTTACAGGTGTTGTGATGGCACTAAAAATCATCCATCAAATCAGATACATAAGAAGAGAAAGTTAGCTGCCCTCTCTGAATCCTGACATTTTCTGTAATGACATATCCAAACTTGTCAACAGTCACATTCATGTGCATATGGTTCCACTGGGAATGGCTGGATCTCGGGGTCCTTTGATTACTTCATTCAAGAGTAGTTTTATCAGGGAAGGAGACACTGCCAATTTATTTTATTGTTAATATACTAATGTAGAATGGAAATTGTGTTGTCAACTGAAAATAAAATTAACTGTTGTATGCCTGTACATACTATAATTCAGTCTGTTGTAGTAGCTTTGGGACTTACAACGACTGAGTTTTTGTACATCATGTTTAAGAGATATACAATTGACCACTGTCTTCTGCCCATATTATAGTGTCGGCACCTACTGGTGCCATACACGACCCCACAAACTTTCGAAGTGACAGCACTGGGGGTTTACTGCAGTGCAATGTGCTGAACAGCTGAAGGTGCCAAGTAACATTTAAATACATTTGTCACTTTATTTTCTTACAAAACAATTTAGATGAGTATTCTCCTTCATTTCCTATGAAAATATATAATTCACTATATTCATGTAGCTTGGATTATGTGTGAAATATTGAAAATAGAGTACACAGTGTCATGCATTGATTGGAAAAATATGAATGAAACCTTTCACTTACCATGTATTCCATATTGGATGCTGGCGGAAACACTTTCCCTCTCACCTTGTTATGGTAATCAAGAATGGCAAGCATGTCATTCTGACTAATATAACGCTTCCTCCTGGTTTTAAAAATAGTCGTGGTGTCTGTTCCATAGCTGTGTGCTGCGCCAACGCTGGTGAAATTGGCAACTGGCAAGGACGTGGAGACTGTAAGAATACTCGTTGCCAGTGCACTTGCTCCGTAAGATACGCACATGAGTATTAGCTCTATGGCAAATTGAGGTTTCATGTTTGGCTTTTTAATACTGCAGACAGAAAATCCCGCTTGCCGAATTGCTCTGGAAAAAAAAAAATCAAGATGACAAACAATGTATTCTGGTGGTGCTCACAAATAAGGATAAATACAGACCGCTCATGTTTTAGAATACAGGACAGAAATAGTAGCAACCACAACGTTCATTAACGCAAACTTTGATCCTACCTATTCATACGCAGCAGTATCTTGCGTCAGCGTCGCCAGGGTTGTATCACCTCCGGTAATGGATTGGAGACAAAAAAGCGCTGCCTGTCTTAAGTTTTCGGGCTTTGCAAACTCTGTGAGGGCTTCAGGAGAAGTCCGTCTTTGCGGGTTTATATATGGCAGAGGAGGAAGTGTTTCTGCCTCGGAGACAGCCCCTCCTTGTTACCTGGAACACAGCATCATTTGGAGAGGCTGTTTGGTTTCTCTTAGTCCGTACCATTGGACACAACACCGGAAAATCTTGTCTAATTTCACCATTTAACTTTTGCTTTAAGTTTGTACAGGGTAGGACATGAAAGGACAACATTTGATTAATAAAGTACACCAAGGAGGATGAGGCATATTAATGTTCTCAAAAACAATACATTGACAAATAAAATAAATTTGATGCTACTGTTTTATTATATATGTCGCTGTATGTTGAATTTACAGTAATATGAATGTAATTTATACTTCAAATGTTGTGAACCCACAGTCAGAAAACGTAGCCTAAAACCATTGAATTAACTTGATTAAAGTGTGACAGTAATCACTAGCTGTTAATCACATCAGCTCCATATGCACAGGATACAGTTTGCATTTCAAAAATACTCCACTGGTCAATGGATGAGAGAGAAGTCAGCATTTTAATAAGTCAGTGTCTTTTCTGTTGTACTGTATATCATAAAGATTGATCAGTGTGTGTGTGTGTGTCCAGCTTTGTGGTTTGTTAGTGCAGATGCAGAGCAAAGGGGGTGAGAAAAAAACTTTCTGCTGATGATTTTCATTGGCAGCTGGTGAACAAATTAAAGCAATGTGACACAGGAACAGTTTTCCTCCCACTTTTTCTTCTCTCTTGAACTCTTTCTCTCTTCATCTTTTGTTGCTGACATCTGGAGGTTTCCCAAAAATCTTCTTGGAAGTGATGGACCTTTCAGGTGCTTGAGTTTGTGGAAGAGATGTAGTATATTATTCAAGTCCAGGGCAGAGCAAAGCTTTTCTTCTCCATTTCAGTCTGTATATACTATACATTTGAATTCTCACTCTCCACTGCTGTACGTCTATACTGAAGGTCTGACTGGGAGGAAACTGCTTCCTAGACCTGATCCTATACTTTGCATAGTTCCAGGACACTGAGCAGAAAATTATTTTTCTTGTTGATTTTTGAGTTATAGGAAAAACGTAATAGGAAAAACATCATGGCATGGGCATGGTGGCACAGTGGTTAACCCTGTCGCCTCACAAGCCCTAGCTGACCCGTCGCCTTTCTGTGTGGAGTTTGCATGTTCTCCCTGTGCCTGTGTGGGTTCTCTCTGGGTACTCTGGCTTCCTCCCATAGTCCAAAGACATGCAGCTTAGATTGACTGACGACTCTAATTTGCCCCAAGGAGTGAGTGTGGGTGTGTGTGGTTGTCTACGTGTTAGCCCTGTGATACCCCACCTCTTGCCCAATGAAAGCTGGGATTGGCTCCAGCCCCTCATGACCATCTTCAGGATAAGCGGCATAGGTAATGGATGGAACTTCAGATATTTAGAGATATAGGTTTGGAGATGTACTGATTGCTTTACCATGTTTATTTCATTATGTCAGGACTTGATTTTAAGTATATCTTTTAGTGAACCCTTAGAGCTTATAGTCAATATATGCATTTAACCCATTCCATTTAATCTATGATGTGATTTTTGTTTCCTCTGTTCCTGTTATGACTGACCATCACATCTGCTTAGTGTTCTTGACTCATTGTCTCATCTGGTATCAATAGTCAGGCCACTCTCCAGCCAGCTCGAACCACCAGCCAAAGATTCAAATCAATGCAGTACTGATATCCCATCCTCAGGTTTATAGCCATATCTATATCATCACATTTAATATACAAAAGCTTAATGTACACCTGTTTTAAAGCATTTCATACTATGCTAATGTTTATTTGGCTGTGGGCATCTTGTCCAAGACTAAACAATGGAGACAAAAGCTTTGATTCACTGAGGAAAAGATGGAACCAGGATAAAATAATGTACTGCCACTGTGTGTCTCTCTCCCTCAGTCTGTCTTTTCCGCACACACACACACACACACACACACAAGCACAGTTTATTCACGTGCAGTCTCCAAGGCCCCAGATGATATTCCCCAAGTCTCAGAGTGCTGGTCCTTCTGTACACAGTGAACCCAGTGACTCTGACAGAGGAAAAAGCATTCTTATCATATTATCAGAGGAGTAATTAGGGCATTATTTGGGGTGCATGCTGCTCTGCGCAGCCTTGGGTCTGTTTTGGAAACACATTCTTTTTCGGACAGAGCATTTATTTACCTACAACATATTGTTCCAAGTTTCCCCCATGCTTTCCCCCCTCTCAAGAGGCCTCACAAAACCCAGCGTTGATGCCAGTACAGCAGAATGTGGTGCAGTAGAGAGCAAAAGGAAAGCAAGAAGAGCAAGAAAGAGAAATAGCCTTCAGGCCATAAACAAAGTCAACAAGTACAACAAGTTGTATTAATTATGTTTCTAGTTGGCAGGCAAATTCAAAACGTGTGCAGAAAAGACCTGAGTGATTTTGATGGGTATGGAGTATCATGTACAGTTATGCAATGGATGTGCAAAAGAAAGTAAAAATATCAGTTTGGGGCGGTCAAACATTTTACATCTCCTTTCTAACTTAAATCCTCAAATTGAAATGTATGGCCTGAAAAGGCATCTAATACAATATCGCATCCATCTAAACTGGATTATTTCATTTCCACTCCCAAACATAAGCTCTATCATGACAGCACTATAGATGTTTATGTAGGTTTATTTTGGAATCTTGAATCTTGATAAGCTACAGTTGTCAGTGTTATTGGACAGTTTTTTACCTGGGCCTTTTGCAGAGAGTTCTGATCGGGACGATTCAACAAGCAACAAAATCTCTTAACGATGGCTCCTCATTCTGTCTGACTATTCCAGCAATCAAAGCACACACTGTAGACTCTGGCTCAGCTATGTACTCCACCCAAGGCTACAGTTACTGCGCTGGCCAACTCTACCACGCATGGAAAAGTCATTAAGTAATTGGCAGCATGTGAATGGATCGATGAAATAAAGATCTAATGTGACTTGAAAGACTAAAACGTTTTAGAGTAGCTTGAAAATTGAAATAGTAAGTTGTGGATCATATTGCTCACTGGGCCAACGGTAGCAGTTATTCTGTGATTTTTATCAAAGTTAAGTAAAGGAGCAACCCGAGATTTTGGAAATTATACATTAATTTACTTGCTAAGAGTCGAAAGTGAAGATTGATGCCACTCATGTCTACATAGTAAACTTGAAGCTTCACACTTTATATAGTGTAGAGATAAAGTTTGGTGTCGTAGCCTGAATATAAAGCTAGGTGGTTAGTTTATCTTAACAGAAGGACCAGAAACCAGCGAAATTGCTAGATTGGCGTCTTTGGCTTGGTTATGTGCTGGACTGTTTCATGGACATGTACAGTAAATAGTCCAGCACATAGCTTGTCCTTTTTACTCTCTGGCTTTTGTACAAATAAAACAATTAATGTATAACATGTTATTAGTGAGACATAAAGGTGCTGGTAGATGAGTTTTCTTACCTTCAGAGAGAACCATGATATTCCCTGTCTTTAGGTTAAGCTAAGCTAACAGCCAATGAAAGGGAATAAGCACATTTCCTCAAAATGTAGAACAAGCAGCAATGTCAAGAATAAATATGCAAATTTAAGCAGTTTTATAAAATACGGTGCTTAATATCTGTACAAAAAGGCATTTTCTGGATTGACTTTTGGAAAAACAGTTGTACTGGGATAGCTTAAGGGTTGGGAAGTCGTGTTGTCATGACTTGGTTTTTGTTGGACAGTGAGCGAAAAGAAATAGTGACATTTCAAGAGTGGTTTACGTTGGTAACAATCCCAATCTCTAACTTCAAGCTGTCCAGGCATCTCTCTTCCAGATGCAGCTGTTGAACATTGTATCAGAGGAGTCACATAGCAAATACTGTATGTTTCACACAGGCTGCTAGCTTACAACTGGGCTTGTTGATAGTGAAAAACCTGTTGTTGAGAAAGCTTCAACCCTGGGTCCCTGTCAAAAGTTCAGGACTGGATTATTACTCCTCCCTTGTCCAAAGAGTAACAAGCACAGCAATAAAGTCAATAAATATCAAAGTCTTTTGATCAAAGAATATGCATGCTCAGCTTCAATTTAATTCAAAATTCAATTGCTGCTGTGTTTAGACTGTACACCAATATGCCAATATAACCGATAAAGTAACATTTTTGTTTTCCATAGAATCAAACTGAGATTGGCTACAGTGCCGGGTGTTACTGGAAGTACAATAACCCAAAGCCACACAGCCTTGTATTTAAAGAACCGCAACCTCCACAAACATGGCTGTACAGAATGTATTCCAGACTGGATGTTTTCCCCTGTTGTTGTCTAGATACAAGTCTGGCTGTTGCTTGACTGCACAGTAGAATCTAAGGTGACTTTCCCCCCATCCCTGGCCTCAAGAAAGAAAACCTGTAAAGATAGTTAAGACAATATAAAGAGTAAATGCCACTGAGAGCCACTGAGGTTCAAGTACAGTAAAATTCAAATAACAATTTTCTTCTAGTTGAGATGGATAATTCCTAGAAATACAAGACCATAGCTAAGAAAACATGAAAGGCTTTAGGCAGTCTAGCAAGTTGCTGTACCATCAGCTTTGTTCAAAGGTCTGTAAAGTGCTTCAAGCATTCTTAACAAACATTATATCAGCAGAACATATACAATTAAACACCTGTTTTCCCGTAACAGTGTTTAGAGTGTGGGAACAACTTGAGGGATGACAAGGAGGAGGGCTTTTTCTTCAGAAATAAGTCACTTAGCTTGTGTATCTATTTTTGACATGTTACATTCCTTTGCCCCCAGATATTCTCACCCATCTATAAGATATTTACAACCATCTTTGATGCTCAGGCCTTGTAAGACTGGACAGAGACAGGGCTGTGGTCACACACAGACATTTCTCAAGAGGTTCAGATGTCAGCTGAGAGAGAGACAGGCAAACATGAAAAATCCAGCAGGACCTAAAGTTAGAGCTGAGACGTTTTATGTATCTTCATAACAGCAGGTAACAAAAACTATCACCTGGGACTCAGGAGAGAGCTGCCAAAGCCAAAGCAACCTATACAAAGTCTAATGTTTGCCCTGTTCCTAGCAGCTGTCCCCATAACAATCTGTTTGTCTTACTGTAT